TTTATCGGGTCTAAAACCACTCGGCTGCGCCTCGTGTTTTATACCCGATAAAACACTCCTGCTCGTTTATTAAACATTACTAAGAGCACGAGGCGTAGCCGAGTGCTTTTATACCTGATAAAACACGATCTACGAGTTTTTTGAACTGCTTAAAACACTCATGAACAATTTATAAGATTTTGGTTCAACTGGAGCCACCATACACGTCACGAACAGGGATTTTTATACTTCGATAGAGATTTGACGTCAGATTTGAAGCTCCCACACGTTGGATATTGCGTGCCAAGGCAAAGACAGGCACGTTAGTCAAAGATCTTTAGGGTTGACTATGACCTTGATGAAGCTCTATGCCTTCATCTAAACTTGGATGCATACTTCATTCCTGATGAAGTCATCCTCATAGTATTCGAGTGGTCTTTATATAAAGACACATGTGTCTTTATATAAAATCACTTGAATACTAATGAAGAGGACYTTATCGGGTATAAAGGTTCATGCACGTGACGTGTATGGTGGCTCCAATTGGACCATAAGCTTATGAATTATTAATGAGTGTTTTAAGAATTTTTAAAGAATTTGGTCTATATATAGCTTAAAGTTGTACAAGCGGTAAACAGAAGAAGAGCGTAACAGTGCATTACAGTGCGACGCACCTAACCGTGGCAACCCAACTTAATTTTTAGCAATGCCGTTGAACCCTTGCCCGCCAAGTGTTTCAATCAATTGAAGGACTTTTTACGAAAGTATTCAGTTTTAGCCAGCAAAGGGACCAAAATAGGTATCAATAGGTAGCAAATTCCTTGCCATCCATTTAAGTTTTAAAGAAATAATTTTAAATATTTGTGGTCACGCTGAGTGAGTTCACGTGAAAATGAACAATCCTTGCTGTCTGATTGGCTGACTAGTAAAAAATATAAGTTGGGTGGCCAAGGGTAGGCGAGTCTCACTGTAATATGACATTCATCAAGACTTTGTTCGTTTAGAAATAAATTTCTAATATTAATCAAACATTTACATTAAATTTAAGAATTTCTTTTCCGCAACAAATCGTATAAATTATTACTGATTCATTGATTTTCTTTGCAGCCTGTAGAACGGTACTACAACATCACCGGAGGAACGTTCTCTATCATATCTAGTGCACAATCTAGTCTCTTCTCCATAGACGGCAAAAACCTAAAAGTTGGAGGAGCAGCGTTGGACAGAGAGACTCGAGACCAATACCAACTGAATATTGTGGTAGATAAAGATGGTACAAGAAAAGGAGTGGTTATGGTAAGGATTAGATATTCAATACTCTTGGACTGCAGCCACATGACTCAAAATCCTTTGAGATACAAATTTCAATAAAATAGCCGCCATCTTGGTTGATCCAACAAGAGAAGCTAATGAGGTAAATGAGGAATGCTTTGTATGGTCAACCAACATGGCGGCTATGACGTAACATGCACTTCAAGAATATATATTTTGATTTTTAAGACATGATTTTATGGTAACTATGACGATATAAAGTGCAAAGCGAGATGTCTCCCACTGAATTCAATTCATAAAAGCTACGCTAAAAAATAATGCTTCATAGATCAAGCTAAAGTTATCAAGCTTCATCACTGCCATCGTTATATCAACGTTTTTATCAAAGTTCAGTATATCGATCCATTTTAACATCATCCTCTATATAAGCGTCTTGATCAGCAACAACATTATTATCATCATCGAGATTTATTGCAACAAGAGTCTCATGATCTGGCATCATTTCAATAGTTACTACTTCATTGGAATCATCATCAGCATCATCTAATTGTGTCTTCTTCACTTTCGTCCACTTTGCTAATTTATTTGCCGAAATTCTTACATTTTAAATAGAGTAACTCTTATAAATTCTGTAATTATCTCCGAGTATTTTTACCATTGAGTCTCATTGTTGATGCTTTCTGGCCGAGCTGTGTCAAACATCAAACGTTTAATGGTATGTAAAAATTTCTCTCATCAAGTGCATGAAAATAGTTTCAAACCAAAGTTTTTACAACGGCTCTTCTGTAATTACGTTTTCCACTGCTTTACGTGATCCCTAAAAACACTTTAACTTTTTTTAATTTTATTTGTTCAAAGTAAAAGACAATATTTTGCACAAAAATCCATTCAAAAAGATTTTGTGGTTCATAAACATGAAAACTTAATTAATACCATTTTCTTAAAATAATAAATAATAAAAAAACTACTTGTTGTTGACTCTCCTTAAGAGCCAAAGTATTTAATATCTACTATGTAAACGTATTCGTTGAACATTCTATAAGTTGATGTAAAAGCTCTAAAATACCTTTCGAAACGATATTGTGATTCATAAAATGAATTTTTGCAATTCCTTTTGTCATCTTATGAAGTAATAAATAATTAAAAAACGAAGTATTTCGTTGTTGACCACAAGGCAAGATCCCTGTGAACCAAACTGCTTATCTATCTTATAGAATCATACATTCTATAAGCTCAACCCCGTTATTTATTTTTTCACTTGACAAATGGCGTCACGGTGACTCCAAAACATCATGAACTTTTTGAAAATAAATTTCGTTATTCTATGTGTTTCAAAAGCTTTACTTATTACAGCTAGTTGTTGATTGTTTTTATTTGTTTGTGTCAACTTTATATAGTCTCACAACAACACTAAAAATCACCCAGCGATAAATTGTAAATAACACTAATGCACGTGTTGCACCATATGTAAGCAGAGAGCGTGAAGCATGCATCTAGCAAGCAAGGATTTATGTCAAGTAAGTTAAAAAAATAAAAGACAATAAGTTAAAGTTAAGGATAACAAGCTTGATGCATGCCGGTATACGTTGAGTACCAAAATAGAAAACGAATAAGCTCAGCTTAGATGTTCGGTTCATCAATAAGGTTACCATCAATGTACTGGACATCAATGACAACACGCCGTCATTCCAAGGTGATCTCCCTTACAATGCTTCAGTGAGAGAAGATGCCGATGTAGGACACAGTATATTGAGGGTAACAGCAACAGATGTGGATGAGGGTTTGAATGGTACTGTGAAGTATGCCCTTAAAGGAGTAGATCAACCAGGTAGGGATCTTAGTACAAATAAATATGACATATGACTTTATACAATCATTTGTAAAATCACTGACGGGTTAAGAAACATAGAAAACGGCTGAGACCGAATTAGATTAATGGGAAGTACCTTAATTAGATGTATCTATATTAGTAAGACTCGTGGGATGCTATACATTAGGGACCTTAAGCTGCAGGACGGCAACGTGGTCGACAACGTCGGCGAAATTGAGGCGCTTCAACCTTCTATTGTATTATTATTTCGTGTTAGTACCTAGTATTTTACTCAATAAGCATCCCCCTTTTAGAGCGAAATGACGTCTTTTTGGAGCGCTTTACTTATAACGAAAATCAGCAAAGATAAGCTTTCAGAGTAGCCGTTCTCTTTAGTACGTAAAAATAGGACATTCCACGTCTTACTTTCAGCATCAGACGGCAATGATGCACAGTATCTATTGAATATCGCAATTCGTGCTATTGTATGGTTGCCGTCGTCGTCGTCGTTGCCGTCCTGCAGCTTAAGGTCCCTATTGATGCACTGACAACGACAACGGCATGAACAAATTTGGGCTTCAATTCTTTTATTTTTTCTTGAATTCCATATAAAACATGCATGTATACCACATAGATGGTCCATCATGATATCATTTTATGAAAATTTTTTTTCAGACCTTTTCTCCATCGAAAACGCAACTGGATTAATTACTTTAGCTGGCAAACTAGATCGTGAGACAATGGCTCAGTACACTCTGACTATCCAGGCCTATGATGGAGGATCTCCTCCTAAGACCAACATTACTACTGTCATTATCAACGTACTAGATGTTAACGATAACCTGCCGGTTTTAAACCAAACTTCCATTTCTAAAGTTGTTCCTGAGGTAAGTAAAAATGGTTTCTTCTTTTGAGTCTTGATTTTTTCAAGAAGTAATTTATACTGAAAACTACTTACATTTGTGGGAGGTTACTGCAAGCGATGTTATTAAACAGTCTCGGCCATGGTTGTTTTGTAGTGGGCAACGAATGGGACAGAAGTGGCAGTGGTATCAGCCACAGATGCAGACAGTGGAGACAATGGCAGGATTACATACGTCATACAGGAAGGAGCTGATGACAAGTTTGTTATTGACCCTAACACCGGTGTTATCACCACCACAGGAGGGTTAAGTTACACGACTAAACCCATATACACGGTGAGATGTGATACATCGTATATCTTACAATAAAATTAATATTATAAGAAAAAACTGTTTTGTAGATATTTTGAAGTGTATATATTATGTTGTTTCAAATAGTTTCCTAACTCCTGCGGTTGAAACTGCTTCGCTTTTTCAAAATTTGGAACACTAAGTTTTCATCAACGTTGCCGCGACTTGCCTAGTTGTGGCTTTACATAACCCTTTCTAGTGAACCCTTAGAACATCAGAATTTTCCTAATTCTTCGAATTCGACTTCCTGAGTTCAGAGTTTCCAACCTAACCAAATTATAATCAATTGTTACCCAGTGGTCAAGGGCGGATCCAGGGGGGCAAAGGGGGGCTGAAGCCCCCCCTTCAGTAGAAAAAAAAAACGATGCTTTTTTATATTGTTTTCCGTTGTGTTGATGGAAGAATGGAAGAAACTCAATTAGTCCCCCCCCCCCCCCTAAAATTTTGGCTGGATCCGCCCTTGCTGGTGGCTTCTGTTCTGTCTATTGTATGTTGGAGCATGCTTCGCGTGGTCTGGTCTGGTTTCACATCTGTCACTACAAGTGGACAGACATTTTTTGGATATTGTTGTCGAAGCATAATTATACATTTGTTTTGTTTTCAGCTTGTTGTGAATGCCCGTGATAACGGTTTACCACCAAGATCTGCTACAGCTACTGTACATGTTAACATCGAACCAAGAACTAACAAATCCTACACAGAACAAGTCACTGAAGGAGCAGCAAACGTTGATGTTTTAAGTTTGTTGGTAAGCTAATAGTTTCTAGGCATTGTTGTAATTATTAATATTCATGAATAGCTAGATCACGTGTTCCGATATTCTACCGAATGGAATGACGGGAAAGATTAAGTGTCTTTGTCCATCACAAGATGTCAAAAGGTTAATTAATTATGTAACTAACTTTCTGGGAATTATAGTGCCTAAGTATATTTACTGCAAGAAATACGTTCAAATCTTAAGCTAGAGACTGTTTCTGAATAACTAGCGTGCTTCCATCGAGTTTTGGGTGCACGCGGGGTGTTACTAAGCACGAAGGAAGCGTAAGAGCCGACTTCAAGCTTCTTGCACGCTTGCGCACAGCGTTAATTAACCAATCAGAGCGCGCGCTATATCGTGGCTATGTTATGATAATTCTTTTTTTTTTTTTGTATCGCTAGAGCGTAGAAAAGGATTACAAAGTTTCTGGAGCATCGTTTTCTTTTATATCTGGTAATGACGACAACCACTTCTTGATTGATGCTGCAAACAAAGTGCTCAAAATTGGTTCACAACCACTGGATAGGGAACTTCGAAATGAATACCGACTTGAAATCCAAGTCGAAAAAGATGGGATAATCAGAGGAGTTGCGACGGTAAAGCCTTATTGATGAACTTTTCATGATCGAGCAATATTAACAGAACTTAGCTTGCTTACTGTCAATCACGTGACTTTTTTGGAGTTGACAGGGGGGCAAACAAGCGGTTGACTGAGGGGCAACTAGCGGATGTTAAGTCAAAACATGTCAAAATAAGTCCTCAAGCTATTGTATTTGACTATTTCTACGACATGAAACCAGAAAACAAGAGATCAAAAAAAACCTTCAAGATTCTACAAACCATTAAAAACGCAACTATTACCGGAAGTGACGTCTATTGATCGCAACCTATAGCAGATATCTCATGAATGTTGTATTAAGACGGGCTGTTACAAGTAATTTATGGGTTTTTGTCCTCCATAGGAAACTTCCATCTTTTAGAGCAATTTAAATCACATCAATCAGATCAGATATTTGAAGATTATGTTTTAGAGAATATATATATAAGTGTAATTTTAGACTTGCATATAGAGTTTCGTGCGCTGTGTGATTGGTCGAGCGACCAGTGATTCGGAGACGATAATCACTGCTCGAGCGGTGAAGACTCGCGGCTCAATAGGCACCGATAATCACTTCGCCTTCGGCGAACAATTGTTAATTATTCTTGTATAACATTCCCAACGTTGAGATAATTTGAAATCTTGTTGCAAAAAAAAAAGTCTTTTATTTTCTTGAGTTCCTGGTTCATATTGTTGAATAGGTTACTATACTGGTGCTGGATGTCAATGACAACTCTCCGTCATTCCAAGGAACCATTCCTTATGATGCGAGCATTAAAGAAGACGCTGGTATCGGCGCAAACATTGTTAAAGTTCTGGCAAAAGACAGTGATTCTGGACTTAACAGTACTGTGAAATATGCCATCACTGCGGGAAACGACCAAGGTAAGTTATAGTAGGTATGCTTGAAGTAGGAGTTTACAAAAATATTCTAGCATCATTAACAAATAATTAAGCTGTTATTTTATAATCGCTTATTCGTTTCCAGGCTCGTTTTCCATGGACAACAAGACCGGACAAATATCTTTGTCTGGTAGCCTTGACCGAGAAAAAACTGCTCAGTACACTCTGACTATCCAGGCCTATGACGGAGGGACTCCTCCAATGACCAACACTACTACTGTCATTATCAACGTACTAGACGTCAACGATAACTCACCGGTGATGAATCAGACTTTACTTTCCAAAACCCTTTCTGAGGTAAGCACTATTTAGCTAGCATCAACTTTGTTACTGGAATTTGTGAGCAAGCGATGTTGTTGAACAGTCTTGGTTTGTTTTGTAGTGGGCAACGAATGGAACAGAAGTGGCAGTGGTATCAGCCACAGATGCAGACAGTGGAGAATATAGCAGGATTACATACGTCATACAGGAAGGAGCTGATGACAAGTTTGTTATTGACCCTAACACCGGTGTTATCACTACCACTGGAGGGTTAAGTTACACGACTAAACACACATACACGGTAAATAAGACACAAATATATATTAAAAATATTATGTATACGTTGTTGCTGTAAGGCGTGGAAAATCACGGGTTTTACTGGCAGTAAATGCTTCCAGACCACCACTAGCACTAGTACCAAAACAAAACATGACCATCACCATCACCATGACCATCACCATGACCTTACCATACCACCACCACCACCACCAATACGAAAACGAATTATGACTACTACTACCACTTTGACTACACCACCACCACCAAAAATGAACATAAACAGTCTATCCATTTACCACCATCGCTAGCATCAGCATCCCAAAACGCATATGACCATGGCCTTGACCATCACCAGAGCCATTACCATTTCCGCCAAAAATGAATATAACCAACACAATATCACATTACCACCTCCACCATCAGCATCCAAAAAAGAATATGACCAGAACTGTCACCTTACCACCACCATCACCAACACGAAACACGAACATGACCAGGACTGTCACCTAACCACCACCACCACCACCATCAACACCAAAAACAAACAATACCAAAACTGTCACCTTACCACCACCACCAACACCAACACCAAAAACAAACAATACCAAAACTGTCACCTTACCACCACCACCACCACCACCACCAACACCAACACCAACACCAAAAACGAACATGACCAGGACTGTCACCTCACCACCACCACCACCACTAATGAAAACAGAATGTGAGCATGACTTTGACCAACTACTGCCACCACGACCACAAAAGGTTGAGATGAACCTACCATGAATATTACCACAATCATTACTACTACTAACAAGAACAACGGTGATGATAACAGCAACAGCAACAATAAGAATAGCAACAACGAACCATCTCAGCAAACGTGGCGAAAACAAAAATTGCAGCTAATTGGTATCATTGTATTTTGTTGCAGATCATTGTGAAAGCTCGTGATCACGGTTCATCGCCACGCTCTGCGACAACGGTCGTGTCTGTTAGCGTTGAACCCAAGACTAACAAAACCTACACAGTACAAGTTACTGAGAACAGACCAGATGAAATTGTGATGAGTTTAGTGGTAAGCATGACATTACCTTCAAAGACTTCTCCCAAAGAATTGCCTACTGAATACTCCCATTTCGAGTTCGCCTTTGCTCAGTCTTAGCCTCGATTGCGTACAAAATTAATGTGTTCTTTTCTTTTATTATGGTCCACTGTATAGTAAGGAATGTACGTACTACAAATCATTACGAGTCGTAAAATGCCACTGTTGAAGGTTTTTGTTTAGACCGAAAAGTCTTTTTTAAAATTGTAAATTTCACAAGTAAGAGACAACTTTAATTTATAATGAAGTACCACGGGTTTTAGTTGAATAGCTGAATATCATAACGCACAAGCGAGACTAAGACTGAGCAAATAGTTCTCGAAACTGGAGTATTACCTGTTAATAGGAACCTTAGGAATCTAATAGATGAAAAGGCGGTTAAAGTCGACACCTATGATCCCTTGTTTACACACCCCGAAGAAGCTCAAGAAATCTACAGCGTGTAGACCGTATAGACACCTTGCAGATGACGTCAAAGCAGCTCGATCTGGGGCACAAATTACGAAAGAATTCCAATCCTTAAAAACGATCTATTGAAACGCAAATATGATGTTAACAAACACTCATAGGTTGTTTGTAAATAACATCTTTAACCGCCATCTCATATTTCCTGAGGATGGACTAATTAGTCCGATAGCTTGGATGTATATTAAAAACTTCATTGTTGAGGAAGTGTTTTTAAGTTTGTAAATGATTCCAACCTACAAAAACACGTTATACCTATTTTTAAATGTGTGAGACAAAATTGCTATAAGATGCATTTTAGTAGCAAACCATGAGATATATTTCACGTTACACTTACATTTTCTTACACACTGCCCTGAGTGAATACCATGCAATAGGCAATATATGTATCATGCAATCAGTTATTTATCTTGTAATCGTACCTAATATTCTTCCTTCAGGTCGTGGAGCAAGACTACAACATCATTGGAGCAAGTTTCTCAATTTCAGCTGGCAATAACGATGATCATTTCAAAATTGTTGGAAAAGATCTTAAAGTCGGCGCGAAGCCACTGGACAGGGAGATTAAGAAAGAGCATGTGCTCCGAGTCACACTCGTTAAAGATGGCAAAGTTAGAGGAGTCGCAATGGTAAAAGCTCGCATCTAAAAAAATATTACCATCAACGAGCAGACTAGATTCAAAGCAAGCTAAATTGGAAACTACTCACTACATGTACTTACAGCATGTGCTTACAAGCCCTCACATCACCAAAGGAAACAAAGCAGATACGCTTGATGGAAGGGAATCTACCGTCAGTGCTCCGTTTTAGGAGTATGCATAGGCAACAGTTTTTTTAAGGAGGCGGCGTCGAGTTTGCGTTCTTGACCCATCAATATCAAACGATGCTCCGTTTTAGGAGTATCTATAGGCAACAATTATTTCTTTGACGAGGCGGCGTCGAGTTTGCGTTTTTTACTCACCAATCTCCATCAGTGCTCCGTTTTAGGAGTATCTATAGGCAACAGTTTTTTTATGGAGTGGGCATCGAGTTTGCGTTCTTGACCCATCAATATCAAACGATGCTACGTTTTAGGAGTATCTATAGGCAACAATTATTTCTTTAACGAGGCTGCGTCGAGTTTGCGTCCTAAAACTCATCAATCTCCATCAGTGCTCCGTTTTAGGAGTATCTATAGGCAACAATTATTTCTTTAACGAGGCTGCGTCGAGTTTGCGTCCTAAAACTCATCAATCTCCCATCAGTGCTCCATTTTAGAAGTATCCAAGTATGGGAAGACCACAAAAGATCCGACCACAGCTCTCTCTATCCGAAAGACGCATACTCACTTAATCGACTAAGCAACATACTGATAAAATGGATAGTTTTGAGAAACTCCATTCCTTACTCGGCATAATGAATCAGTATTAATACTTCGAACAAGTCTTATCAATATATTTTACAGGATGCCATTTTCAGGGATTCCTGAATAGATCTCTGTGCCTATTTTACGTATGCAAATTGCCCATTTCAGATCACGTGACATTTCTTCGAGAATTGTTCTTTTATGACGAACATGTTAAAATATTTACATATGAAAGATTTAAGTCCCAAGAGTGGCTTCACGTGGTCTGAAGTGTGCACAACAAATAACGAAAGTAAAGACGTCTATGGCAGGGAAACATGTCGCTTTGCACTTTCATACTTCTCATGCATACCTTTATAGACAAGGTTCAATTAATTTTGCTAAACTCTATACACTTATTTCAATAAAGTTAGTCGCCTGAAAAGCTACAAAGCTGAGACCAACAAAGATTATGGGTAGTTACATTTTACATGTTTCAACCGCTTTGATAACTGTTGATGGATTTTAGATCTTTTACCAGTTACAGTCTCACCTCTTCTGAGCATCCTCAAGCTGCAAATTGTATCAAAAGCTTTACTTGTTTGATATTAAAAGTTTCCCATGATCCTCAGTGATCTCGGCTTTCCAGGTTTTTTGGTGACTAACTTTATTGAAATAGGTATATACGTAAAAGTATGATATCTATTTGCATACTTTTGGTCTGCTTATAACAATGATGAATGAGTGCGATTTATCATAACCTATGATTAGCTATTTTATTTTATAGAGCATTTCCACTTTATTTTTAATATTGAATTTTTAATATTGAATTAAATATCTAATATTTCCTCTATCAATCATCCGTTTGTTCATAGATAATTGTCAACGTACTTGACGTGAACGACAACTCGCCTGCATTTCAAGGATCCATTCCTTATAGCGTTGACGTAAAGGAAGACACTATGATTGGTGATATCATTCTGAAGGTTAACGCAACGGACAGTGATAGCGGTAACAATGGTACAGTTATATATTCCATAACTGGGGGCAACGGAGAAGGTAATATGACTCAGCTAGATTATTTGTCGTACAACCTATCTCTTTTCTAAAGAAAATTTTCTAAAGTAAATAACAAGTGTTATAAACATCGAATCGAAATATTGCGACCATTTTCAATAACTATTGTTCTGCTCTGACTAGCCTCGTGCTCACGTGGGACTGAAGTCGCTAGTCAGTGCAGAACAGTTATTAAAATTGGTCGGCATATTTCGATTCGGTGTATACAGTAGAGATATCGTATGATTGTGAAACAGTATGCAAATCCACTGACAGTCGGAGAACTACCGACATTCTTTGATTGCAAAAATCACTGGTCACGGTACCGGCGACGGCCATGTGACTGTCAGGCCACGGCATGTCTGTAAAATGAGTTTTTTTTACTCATACGAAATTTTCTTTGACTTATTTAATAGACCTTATTCGTAGTGTGATAATGTTTTCGTTTTTGAGCTTTTTTTTAACACCTTGGACAATTATTCACATGTCTCTATCATTTCAAGCTCACCGTTCGTCTCGCTTTGATGCAAAGGCACGGCTACCTGATGGCGCAAGGAACTGTTAAGGGGACTCATGAACTTGACAAACCTCTAGGGGAATTAACAGCTGTTGTTTTGAAAATCGTCGGGATATCATAGTTATTCCTTGATAGTTAGTCATTTGGGATACTCATGAATCTTTTGAAGAGTAAAACAAAAGAAAATGAATCCTCTGGAGGTTTGTCACGCTGAATTGGAAAAACGTTTCCACTGCACGAATAAGTCATAGATCAAAAACGAGTGCGAGTACGGCCGAGTGCTTTCATCTGTTTCTCGGTATTTGGATGCCCTGATCAAACACGAAACACGAGTTTTTGAACTGACTTCTCAAACTCATTATAATTCCCCGGAGGGGGGGGGGGGGGGGTACTCCCATATATTTGCTATACGGGTATGTGCCTCCCTATAGGGTATGGTTTTTCGGCTTTTGGGTCTGGGGTAGGGTATCATTTTTGGAAATTTTGTCTGGGATAGGGTATCATTTTAGTCTGGGATAGGGTTAACGATTTGGTCGTTTTAGTCTGGAATAGGGTTAACGATTTGGTCGTTTTTGTCTGGCAAATAGGCTACGCTTTCTGCCGATACAAAAACAATAAAAATGTTAGTAAATATTGATTACGATCTATTGAATAACCGTATTTTCCGTCTTTTAGTCTGGGATAGGGTGTATAATTCTTAGTTTTAGTATGGGGTAGGGTCTGTAAAATCAAAATTTTAGGTCTGGGATAGGGTCAGGGTTTTGGGGTCCTGGCGGCACACCCCTACCCAAGTTGGGGTGGTAGTACCCCCCCCCCATCCCCCCGGGTATAATTAATTTGTTCTTGAATCTCGTGATACTAAAAGAGTGAACAGTGTTTTGATCACTGTCTTGATCCGTTATTGATCAAGTATCAAGGTCCGTGCACGTGACTACAATGCAAAGCCGTCATTGGTCATTGATCTCATGAATTATTAATGAGTTTGAGAAGGTGTATTTTACAATGAAGTATCCTACGACAAAGTCTTTCAGGTTTCAAGACTTAAAAATGTCCAGTTCATGCACACTGGCCTGGTAGAATTTTATGAATGCATTTTGCATTTTTTATGTTTTCTAATCATAAAAGATTAGGATATTGAAAAACTGGGGTTTTCTTTTCAGTCTTTCTTTCCATCGATAAAATTACGGGAGAAATATCAATATCAAATTCGCTAAATCGAGAGAAAACTGCTCAGCACCCTCCAGGCACACTCAGCACACTCAGCACACTCAGCACACTCAGCACACTCAGACTATCCAGGTCTATGAGACCTATGATGGAGGGACTCAGTCCTCCAATGACCAACACTACTACTGTCATTATCAACGTACTATTCCATATAAAACATGCATGTCTACCACATAGATGGTCCATCATGATATCCTTTGACGAGAATCAATTTTTTTGCAGACCGTTTCTCCATCGAAAACACAACTGGAATAATAACTTTAGCTAGCGAACTAAACCGTGAGACAACGCCTCAGTATACTCTGACTATCCAGGCCTATGATGGAGGATCTCCTCCTAAGACCAACACTACTACTGTCATTATCAACTTACTAGACGTCAACGATATCTCACCAAGCTTTAGTCCTAGAGTAATGAATGTGGTTGTTTCTGAGCGGGTAAGTTATAGCAATATAAAATGTTCAAAGTTTGACTTTAAAAAATTCTTCGAAACACTAATTTGAATCCTTTTCGTTTAAGATAAGGCTAAGATTTCAATTCCAAGCATTCTAGAATATTTTTACGTCAATGGGCGGGTTAAATATCAAGTTCAAGTTAAAATCGATTTTTCATTACCTAGAAAAGCAACAACATCTAATATGCATGTATTCCTCTTAATGATCCACTGCAAAACTACAGCAGTGGAGTTCCTCAAGGTTCGGCACTTTATCCCCTTAGAAAATGGGAAAGGCTTATAGACTTATACATAGACATTTTCATCATGCTTACTACAAGATTTAATACCAGTTCTGATATTATTAGAAATTCTAAGGCAGAGGAAAATATTGGGTCAAGTTGAAATTACATTGCATTGTGGGAATTGTTTAGAGGACTAAGAAGACGCCACCTTTGAAATATGTGTCCTTAAAAAGACCTATAGAGCGTTTTAACGTAACGTCACCATAACAATACATTTTCTATCGTCGGGAATTGAAATCTTTTTATGCATAAATTGTGCAAAACGTTTCTATGGTTTGGTACATCAATATGGCTGCCTTCTCACGTGAGTGAAAACGCTCTTTACGATGCACTGCAATTCCAACTCAACGCAGTCTTTTTGTTGGAATGGCTAATTAATAAGAATACTCGGAGCTCGTTGTTTAGCCTCGCTGCGTTTACAAATCTAACATTAGAATAAAAATGACTGTGTTAACTGTTAATTAATTAATGTGGCATCTTTCTTCCAGACCTCAAATGGTGTCCAGATCGCACAAGTAACAGCTAAAGATTCAGATATAGGCGAAAACAGCAGAATTAACTACAGCATCGCGGAAGGCAATGATGGGAAATTTGACATTGATCCAAACACCGGTGCCATCAAGATCATTGGGGGACTGAGTTTCAAAGAAAGATCCAAATACATGGTAAGAGACAACCTCCAACCAATAGTCCCTTTTCTCATTCGGTAAATACCATTGTTTTATGACTACAGATTCATCTGCACTGGCTATAAGCCTTGTCCAAGAGAAACCCATTCAGTGAAAAAGTCAACTGTAATGTAAAAAGTTAACATTTGCAAAAGTCAACTGTAATGTAAAGAATGTGCAGCTTGAACAAAACCAAATTTTTTGAATCCACAGACTTTTAAATCTAAGAAAAAACCATTTGCAAAAGTCAACTGTAATGTAAAGAATGTAAAGCTCGCACATCCCACAGACTTTTAAATCTA